TTCACAGCGGAGGGGACAGGCCCGAGAGGCGAGCCCAGGCCCCTTCCCCAGCGCAGACCTCAGACCGCACTGCCCCGCCGCGTCCCGAAGGCGGGCGTCGGCTTTGAGAAGGAGCCAGAAGACACCTGACTACACGTTCACACTTCTTCCTGTTTCCTCCTCCCAGAAGGAAGGGAGTCCCTTGTCCCCAGACCTTCCACGTGTCTGGTCAGTGTTCTCTGACAAGGTCCCCTCCCACCTGTGTGGCCACAGACTCTCATGGCGACTTCAGGAGCCCGTCTAAGACCTGAATCAGGGGTTGTCTCAGTTCTGAAGTTCCTGTTGTCATACCTGATTCTTTTCAGACATGAGGAAGTCCAGTTTTCCTCCCGGGAGCCCCAGTTCTATGAAAGTCTTTACCAGCCGGAGGTCTGCACTGTTCCCTAAAAACGACAGGCAACCCCACCAGGGACCCACAATTAATCACATAAAAGCTGACGCACAAGGATTTACTTCTCACTCTTCTCCCATCCCCCCACTTCCCATTTTTTTATTAAGCTGGTAATAAGAACTGGTCCTGTGCTGCCCCCTCCCCCTGCCCACACGGGTCAGGCCCCTCCTGGCGGTCCCCCCTCCATGGAAGTATTCCTCCATCTATAAACATGTGGCTTGTGAACATTCTGACACAGCAACGGCTGCAGACACGCCACCCCCCTTTTCTTCCAAGTCAGTTCTGTTCACTCAGGATAAACAGAGCGGTGGCCCTTGCGGCTGACAAGGCCCAGTGTGCCATCGACAAGTCCCCTCTCAAATCTGCTCCTCAGTACAAAGACTGTCTAGTTCTGCCACTTACATGTAGCCAGCAAGTCCCTCACACAGGCCAGCAGGGACATAGTTAGCCACAGCAGAGCAAGGGTCACCCTTGTGAACCCGAGTCAGGTAAGTGCAAACTTCATGGGTACCATCTTCCAGTGACCAGCAGGGGCTGAGGGGCAGGAGCTTAAGAACTTGAGGCTGCTGCTAAGTGCAGAGGATGGAGAACGCATCCCCGAAGTAAAAATCAGGTGGGAAGTGATTCTGATACAACAGAACAAACTCCGTATTCAAGTTTCGTTAAGCAGTAAACGTCATGCAGGCCACGGGGTTCGGCTGTAGCTTTTGCTTTTTAATTGAAGTAGAGTCGGTTTAAAATGTTGTGTTAATTGCTGGCGCACGGCAGAGAGGTTCAGTGATACATTATACATGTATGTCCCTTTTCATATTCTTTTTCATTATAGGCTGTTACAAGGTATTGAATATAGTTCCCTGTGCTGCACAGCAGGACCTTGCTGTATTCTCTGTTCTATATATAGGAGTCAGTATCTGCAAACCAGCACTCCCAGTTTACCCCTCCACCCACCCTCTTCCACCCCGGGGCCAGAATTCAGTTGTAGCTTCATGAATTTTTTAATCTGTTCCTCAAAGGGATCCCTGCAGAGTTGAAAGTCAGAAGTTGCTTATGTGGCCAAATAGGTGACCCACTTTACGTCACTGTAGCTTCCGCGCAGCTTGTAAACTATAAATGATACCATTTACAATCAATTTTATGTTGTTCTTTAGGAAACTACCACGCGATTCAAAGAATGGTGAAAATGCCACACAGGATATGGGAGACTTAAAGATACTTGATAGAATCTCTCTCATCTTTAAGGATGACCCAGTATAAATAAACACCCACCCCGCGACGGTGGCCCATCTGAGCACAAGGCCACGGATGCAGGGCAGAGCTATCGGACACTTAGGTGCTTCTAGGAAGTGTTTCGGTGTTGTAGTAAGTTAAGTTTATTCATTCCTTCCATTCCAGACAATGAAAGTAGGCTCTTTGGTCCTTTTGTTCTTGTTTAAAGCTACCAAACAACATTCTAAGATCTGGCCTTACTATATATATGTAGATAGATAGATATCTCAAGTGTCTATATTAGTGTAAGGAGTCTAAAAAGGAGATGACAATGGGCCCCTCTTCTTCAGCTACTGAGCAAGAAAGAACTTTCTGCAACTTAAAACTTTTTCAGAAAATATGATTTGACATGTGTTCAATTGAGGACGTTTACAAGAATGTACCTCTTGGGCTTTTTGCACATGAAGAGTTGTGGAAATATTCATGACCATTACCAACGTCTTCAGTCCTCTGTTCATGTAAATACACCCTTGGAAGTGGAATTCGAACAAATGGATCCTGTGAAACTCTGCAGTTTCGGCACATGCACCTTGAACTAGAGGCGTCACCTTCAAGAGAAATGGGTGCTTGATTGCTGGCTGCCTTTTGGATGGCTTTATGCCCGAGGGATAATGCTAGGGCTGACAGCTCACTTTTCTGACACAGACACTGATGAAGCTGCTCTTTCTCTACAACATTCCTCTTCTCCCACCTGCGTGATGGGAAAAAGATAAAAGTCTGTGGCCTGACCAGATTTCTTATTTTAACAAAGAGATTGAGAGGCACATCTCATTTTAATTTAATATCAGGTAAGAGGTGGACACTCGTCATGCAAGGCATGAAGCTAAGTTGTCCACAGATCCTGTGTTTAAAAACTCACAGGGTGAGTGAGAAAGTTGTTCTTTGTCTTTCTTGAAATCCTTCTGATTGCAAATCCCAGTTAAAAACAAGCCTGTCTTCAACACCTTAATACTTTTTAAAGAGAAAGTGAATCTCAAGCTCAAAGTCTCCTGGCAGTGGGACAAGTCAGACTTCAGCACAGTTATTTCCTTTATAAGTATTTTCAGTGTGACTTTGTGTGTTGCATGTGATTCTAGTATTTAATTTGTGGTAGTGATTTGAAGTTTTATTTTATTTTATTTTATTTTTGATGGGGGTACTGGAGACTGAACCCAGGACCTCACATATGCTAAGTATGTGCTCTACCACAGAGCTATACCCAACCCCTTGAAGTTTATTTTTTTAATAAATATATTCAAAAAATATGCCTGTTTGAACACAAATTTTGAAATTAATAGTATGAGGTACATAGATAGAGTAAATATGGGGAAGGGAATGTGTGAATGGCTGAGACTTGGGGGGCATAAGAGTCAAAGCAGAGAGAGGACAGCTCACCAGAAAGACAGACAGACACCGTGGTGTGAAATGGCCTCTGTCCCTGGAGATGGGAGTGAATTAGTGCAACTGAATGAGGAAAAGAACAGGAGATGAGAATAGGGGGCGGGTCCAGGGGTCAGACATAAAGAACATCTTATGCCAGGAGTTTTCTAAGCTTTCTAAGATAGGAGTTTATTTTATTTTGTTTTCTGAGAGCTACAGAGAAAGGTTTTCGGTAATGGAACAGCATGACCAAATCTAGTAAGATTTTAAGAAGATGACTTGGGGGTGTGGGTGAAGGTCTGGGTAGGGAAAAGATGAGCTTGTTTGCAAAGTCCAAAATGAAACGTGGGCTCTGGAGTCTGAGAGCTGGGCTGTAATCCTGGCTCAATCGCATCAGCCGTGGGACCCTGTATGCGGGACGCAGCTGCCCTCCTACTCAGTTCCCCACTTGTGAATGGGGTAGCAATAGCAGCTCCTCTGCGGGGCTGTTGTCAGGATCAACAGCACTGATGTGTGCCCGGCATCTAGAATGGCTCCTGGTCCTGGAGGAGTGACATATACTTTCCGGTCTCCATTATCATCACCATCTAGAGTGACCCACCACGGGATTCCTTATCACTCCACCAAACAGACCTGCTGACTTAGCATCCTGCTCTGCGATGCACGTAGCCAGAAGCTGATGCAGACAATTACATGCATTAGTCCCAAGAGAGAGAAAAATTCAGGATACCGAGAAGAGTGTATCATGCAAGTAAACGCATCCCCGTTCCCTAGTTGATTATCATAAGAAGAATGTGACCACAGTGTGGATCAAATATTAATCAGTCAATCTAAGAAAGAGATGGGGCATGTTCTCTGAGCCCAATTTGAGGATTATAACGCAAGAAGAGCATCCCAGAAAGCCTCGAGAACTGTTCCTCCCGTTAGAAGTCAAGGCATGTAAGTTTTTCGAGACAGAGAGAGCTGTACATTAAACGATGTATAATTGACAGTGCACAGATCTGAGCATCTTCGTGGTGCGTCATGTGACCTCTCCCAAGGTCAGGAAGGAGTGTTATCTTCAGGGAGTTGTCTTGCTGATGCTAGAAGAATACTGCCCTATATGACTGGGCATTTCTGCCAATGGAGAAGGTTTGGCCGATGCGTAATGCAGGTACCCAGGTGAGGGGAGACAGCAGGCCAAAGGGCGGAGGAGTTTTTTTGTTTAAATGTTTCTTGTCTTGCCATAAAACACGACTTTTCTTTCACAACAGGTTTTGCTCCTCATCACCAGTGACGCCCTAGAGAAGTCCTTCCACTTCTCTGACCCTCAGTTACCTCCCGTAGTCCATGTAAAGTAGACGTGGTTGATTTATCCCATTCATTCCTTGATGGTATTCATTCATTCATTCATTCATTTCTGCACTTCATTAACTCAACATACTTTAGCACCAGAGCAATCCTCCCTTTGGGAGCAAGGCCGCGCCGCTGTCCCAGACCCTGCACACTGCTACTGTTCCACACCTGCTAACTGAACATCTGCACCTGATCTAAATTAATTCATAAATACTCTCATTTTTTATAGCACAAAATGTTGAGGAGGAAACCTTTTCAGAACTCACCATCCAGGCCATGGACACAGACTACCAGGTGAATCCCATCTTCCAAGTTTTCTTCCTCTTCCTCTGGTGGGAAATACGGCATATCAGAAGCTAGTACAGATAAGTCACTGTACAGAAATCCATCAATCTTCAGCTCTTTTTTAAATTTTTCTTTGGCCTGATAAAAACTGGAGAATACACTAATTAATCACAAGCCAAGCTGTGGATTCCATGTTGAACAGGTGATGAGTCGAGCTGGGATGTGGGAGAGATGAACACCTACAGGGAGGCATCGGCCACGTGGCAAAGGCTGAGTGTGAGATGTCAGGGGAGCCGCTAGTGAAGGAACTTTGTTCTGAACAAGGAGGCAGGAACACACCCCAGGAAAACCAAGGGCTGTAAGTACGTGAGTTCTGTGGTTTTCCATGTGGTTCCTGCAGGGAACAGAACTTCTAAGGTTCCGTCCAGCTTCAAGGATCCACACAATCTTTAAGACATCTCCTGGGAGTGAAATTTTACTAACCTGGCCTCCACCTACTTCTCCAGCATCATCTCCCAGCCTCCAAAAAGAACACATTTCTCATAATTCTCTGCCTGAATCGCATCTCTTGTCTTGACTTCCATGCCTTTGCGCATTTGGGTCTACCTGTCTGAAACCCCGCCTGGTCACCATGTCCTGCACCTGGCTATCTGACACGTGGTGGTTAAGCGCTCAGACTCAGGAGTGAGACTTCCGAGGTCAGAATCTCAGTTTTGACACTTGCTAGCTGTGGGCCGACTGCTTAACCTCTCTGCATTGAGTTTCCTCATTTGTAAAAGGGGAATAACACCCTTCTCCGACTCAAAAAGTCATCTTGTTTTGTGCATTAAGTGACATAAGCTATGCAAAATGCTTAGAGTGACACTTAAAACCAGATTAAGTACTGAAAAAAATGTCTATTACCAGCAACACCATCGTCACCATCATCATCATCAACATGATGTTTCATACTTTGTCCTCAGCTTAGGTGTCCTCTCTGAACAGCTTCTCCGGGTCACCACCTCTATTCACACTCACTGTCCCCAGCCAAATCAGGTCCCTCTCTTTCTGGCTCAGCTGTGCACACAGGAACCACCCCATTTACTCAGCTGCCCTCATTCGTGTCTGTCTCTGTCTCCTCGCAAGACTGAGAACACAGAAACAACCAGGACATTGGACAGCGCCTGCTGCGCACTGGCTCAGTGGATGGCATGGGCATACGACAGGTATTTAATACTCTTTATAAAACACGGGCCCCCAAGTTGACCTGCCTGTGCGATACCTCTTGGGGATATCATTCATGTGTAACTGTTCAGCATTCTTCAAACAAGTAGATGAGATGAGATATTTTGATAAAATCATTCTATACTGGAATTAATCAGATCGATAGTTTAAAGGTGAGGGAGTAATGTGAATGCCAACCCAACACAAGGATAAGTGGATGGATTCCCATTTTAAAAGAAATGATAAACTTAAGAACCACCCAAAAGGAGAATAGGAAGAAAATCTGATGAAGTAGTCCTATTTCCAGAGGCTCTTAGAGAACTGCCCCCTCAAAATCTGCAAAGATGGAGCTACAACAACATGTATATGATAGTTGTTGATCATAACAAAAACTGAAAAAGAAAATCTTAAATGTCTATCTCTAAAGGATTAATAAGTCATGGTACATTTACACAATGGAATAGTATTTAAACATTAAAATGATAATGCAGGGATAGATTGATAAACACAGAAAGATGTTTCTAATATATTAAGTTGGGGAAAAACTTAAAGAGTTTTAAAGAATTATCCTAATTTTGCATAATAATAATATATACATTTAGGTGCACACAGGAAAACGTATGGAAGACTTACCCAGTGGCTGTATTTGAGAGATGGGTTTATTGATCATTTTTACTTCCATATGCTATTCTGCATTTCTGACTTGGGTTATACGAACATATTATTTTATATAAATCAGAAAATAACTGCTATCTCAATGTTGAAGCAGGATGCATGAAATTGAGAAATACGTAGGAAAAAAAATCTCAAAGACTGCTGGGTGAGTTAGCCGTCAGCAAGCTTACCTGAACATCCTCTCACTGACTTCTTCCTCCAGCTTGCCAGAATGAGTAGGAACAACTCCAAAGGAGCCCAAAGGTTGATGAGTGATGGGAAACAGGGTCTGTTTGGATGAGAATCCAGCCCTGGCAGGGGTCTCCTTGGGCACAGATGAGAAAGGGAGGCACGTGGCAGTGCAAGACACAGATAAGTTGACAACCTCGACAGCTTTCAGGCTGTCCAGAGAGAAGGTCTCTGCAGGGCTCAGGTGGGACACCATGATGGAGGTGCCTGCCCTTGGCTCTTGGGTTCCCAAAACTTGGGAGTGCGTGGAGTGAGTCACAGTGGAGCACACGGTGCCTTCTTCAGGTCCATCCTCCAGGAAGGTGTCAGCCCCTCTGCTCAGCGCTGGGCCATCAATGACGCAAGGTGAGCTGCTCTGCTCACCTGTTGAATCCAGGTCCACGGTGTTGGCAGCCGATGGACAGCTCACTTCAGGCACCTTATGGTGAGTGAGATTCTCAGCATCCAAGATGCTTCTGTTAGAAAGAGCTCTTCCTCCCACATTAGTGTCTTCAGGCATGCCCTTTGGGGTCTCCGTGGGTGCTCTAGGAAAAGGTCTGTTTCTAGGGTTTTCAAGTGCTATGATGCGTGGTATTTTTAAACTAAGACCTTTGGTTTCAACACCTGGAGGGTTATCAGTCCTGCCATCAAGACAACAGGGTCCTTGAGGATCAAACCGACTCTCTTTACCTTTGGGGATATCTATGTAACCAGGGCCCTGCTGGCTGTCAGCATCTGTAACTACCTCCACAAGGGAGTGGTCAACCCCAGCGTCCTGAATTCTGGAGCCACCACTGAGTTGAAGGCAGTGTCCTGGGGCATCCATGCCCTCAGTGTGCGCAGCTGAAGGTTCAGCAAGACCTCCGCTTTGCTGCACCGAGTCCGCATCGTCATTGGTCCCCTCTGGGCTACTGATCTGGGGCGCAGACACCGACTTGGTCAGTTTGGTGAGCGCCAGTTCCCGCTCCTCCTCCTCAAAAGGCAGAGAGCTGATGGAGGTGAGAGAAGCCTGGATCCCGCTTGGCAAACTCGTGTTGCTCTCGGTGTGTCCACCCTCCAGGGAGTTCCTGTGGAGGGCATGTCTTCGAACTAGCTGGTGCAAGACGTCCCGGTCACTGGGTAACTCCAGGGCTCTGCTTCGCGCCTCGGACCAGGCGACGGAGCTCGGCTCACTCTCAATGCCTGAATCAGAGATGAGGGAAGAGGATCTCTTGATGACCCCAGATAGCACTGACACTTCCTCCTCCGTGCGAGGGTCCTTCGGGGAAGCCCTGAAGTCCAAGGGATCCCTCAAAGAAGCGCTCAGTGGGTCACAGGGCTCCGAGGGGATGAGCCTCAGACTTAGCAGCGCCACCCCGCCCCCTTGGTCTGCTCCCTTCCCCAGAGCACTTAACTCATGGAGTGTGGTCTTCTCCAAAGAGATGGCATTTTGAGGACTTCCGCCGGCTACCCCTTTGCTTAACTCAGTTCTGCCCAGTTCACAGTTTTCCTGAGAGGCCCCACTCTCGTGCTGAGCACTGAGGACCACCATGGGCTCGGCTCCGCGGGGCTCCTTATTGCTGGACGTCACGTCGATGTAGGTCAGTGCTGGGGCCTGGCCATCCTCTGGGCTGGGACTCCTCCTGGGCAGGTCCTCGTCTGCCAGGGGGCGCGCCCCAACGTCAGGCCTTCGGCCACTCCAACTTTCGTCTTCGGGCAGATCTGCCTTGCTGTGGAATTCACCGACTGTCAGGTACACCTGAGACTCAGAGCGCGTACCCAGGCATTTCGGGGTGGCGGCATTCTCATCTGGCTCTGGACACCGAATAACCTCTTCGTCAGAGTCCATCTGGGGTGGTTTCATGGTGGGCAAGACAAGGTCTTCCGTCAGAGGGGATGTTCGGTTTACCACATGGCTCTCCTCTCTGTCTTTTACATTCATTATTGCAGGACTTGTTGCCGGAGCATCAAAATTAGGGTAAACACTCAAATTATGCCCTACAAAAAGGAAAAAAAAGAAAGAAAAATGTGTTATAGTTTAAGAATCTATGTTCACAAATTATCCAAATACCTGATTCTACAATAAATAATTTGTCTGGACTTCTGGTTCCTGGGAGATAACCTCTAAGTTCCTGGAATTTCTCAAGTGATTGGACTGTCTGCTCTTCATGGTGGGCCCTGAGCACTAATGCTGACCCGGTGGCTCACAGTGAGCCCTTTGACAGCCTATGCGAAGGAGGTGACTCAGGACAGGGACTGGCCAAGCCAGGAAGACCAACCACGTGTTAAGTTGACGGGGACTTTGAGTCAGGTGACATCGGTACATCTCGGAAGGAGAAGTGGGCTGGGGACTGAGGTCCACCGTGTGGCCCACAGACTGATCAATCATGCCTGCATTATGGAACCCTTGAGTAAGCTGCCCAGAGGAAGGGAAGTTTGCTCAGTCTCTCAAGATGCAAAGCACACGTCCAGGTAAAAAAGATTCATTCTTCACAATGTTTGTGCTAATTCTTGACCCAATCAAAGCTCACTCAAAGGTATGAGATAATGATGTCTCAAAGCTCCATGTCGTTTTTAAGTGTCTCAACAGTTTGCTTCATGATAATGTTAATGATTATGATAGCAATATAACTTAAATCAAAGCACATGAAAGATTAAAACTTTCTGAAGAAAAAGGCCAGTCTTCTTTGTGTTTGCTTGTTTGGTGTATATGGAAATTGAATAACATATCAGATGGCTTTCTCAAGAGATCTGTGGTGCACGTATTTTATTCCAATTATGCATTATTGGGGGGGCGGGGAGAGAGAGAAAGGAAATAAAGAAAGAAAAGGAAGGAGGAGGAGGGGAACAAGAGAGAAGAGAACAGAGACTAGAGGAGAGAATGAGAGAGACCATCTGTGAAGTTTGACCAAATTCAGGGTAATTTGTGTCAAAATATTGGAAAACAAACATGGGTACAGGACAGCTGGTTCTCCCAGCAAAGCATATGGGTTGTATCCTGGAGACTATGGCGAGATGCGGGTCATACCAGGCAGGGAGGACAGTGTGGGCAGAGGCCCAGAAGTCTGGGAGGTGCAGTCTGGTCGGGCACTGGGGGATCACCAGAGTGAACAGAGAAAGTGGGGGAGGGCACAGGTGGTACAGGTAGAGAGAAATCCATTGTGGGCAACACAGAGGAGCTCGAATGCCCCAGATGAATAGGGACTCGGGTCTTTATATTATAGGTAACAGGTAGATTGGTGGGTTCTTGAAACCAAAATGAAAGCATTAACCAGAATTATCACAGACAGCTGAGATGGGACAGAGGCAGCCCAGCGAGGAAGGAGACTGTCCAAACAGAAATTTTAGTCTCACTACTGCAACTACAGAAAAACGAGGGCAGCGAAGGATCTGATTCACAGAGAATGGATTTAGACTCAGATGCTAATGACACCATCGACGTGTGTCCTAACTTGCACAGTTGCCCCTAAGTGTTCGGTGGACAAAACCGTCCACCACGTGCAGCAGCCCTGCGGACCAGAACCCACGGCGCCTGCTGCCCATTTCACACAGTTGCTAACTGTCAGGGGGAAAGAGATGCAGATCCAGGCCATCTGGCCAACTGTTAAGACCGCAGGAAAATGGCCCGGTCGCCTTGGGACAGGAGGGGGAAAGGTGGGTGGGAGAAGGGGTTACAGAGCACAGAGACAGAACATGCGAGTTCCTGGTACACAGGGGGTGTTCTAGCCATGATTCTACTGCAGGCCACGAACAAACATCACTATTTTCACATGGAAACAGAATTCCTTTACTTCCCTTTTTGCATTACACCAAAACAGGAAAAAAAGCAACACAAATCTGGTAACCTCCCTGTAAATCATAGAAATTAAGGCCACCAAGCCCTTGAGGACAAAGGAAATAGCTCTTTATCTGCTAACGCTTTCGCTCTGGGATTCGAGAACCACCAAAGCACACTGTAAAAGAACAGGAAGGTCGAGCCTGGCTCTGGGATTGAGCACGGACACAGGTGCCTCTGGAAATGTAGTCTGGGGGATGGAGATGGATCAGGTCAGAGGCCCGGGAGAGAAAGCAGCCTTGGGGGGAGAGCCAGCAACTGCCTTGAGGTTATTCTAGAGAGATGTGACCATCAGTGTCGGGGTCCCGGCCTCAGCCGAGCCCCATGCCCCCAGGGCCGAACAGCGGCTGCAGAGAGACACGGGTCCTAAAACACTGTAGTTATGGACAATGCGTGGCTTACAGGAACCTGCAACGGGCAGCTGGCCCTAGGAGACCTCCCCCGACCACGTCCTGCCGCTGTCCGGGACGCCAGGTGTTGACGCGGCGGGCAGGGGTTAGGTTAGGGAGGGGAGCCCCAGGAAGACGGAGGTTGACCTTCCAGCTAATGCTGCAGGATGGATGGGGCTCAGCTGAGGTGAGGTTGATTTATAAAAATAAAGATGTGCAGTGTCAGAGCACACATGAGTTGGGGGAATGAGATTTATATCCACAAGAGTGGTCTATTAATACGTATGTTAAAAAACACCTAGGAAGTAATCTGCAACAGTCTAAGATAAAAGTAGGGGGTCTGAGAGTGGGCGCTTATTTTAAATATCTTTTCTGTTCAATTTTCTGTAGTTCAATCATATAACTATAATGAAGATCAACACACACACACACACACACATACACACACACACAGTCTCAATCCAATATTTAAGCTTTTTGGACCCGCTGGGCAGGCTAGCATCTGTATTACTAGCACACATTTGAGCCATCATACACACTGTCAACACTAGATGTCAGGGCACAACTGAGAACCAAAAAATCGTTTGTTGGCAAGGTCGCATTGTCCTTGGACGTCACCTAGACTTTTCAAACATCCCAAGAACCTCAGATTGCAGAAACTCTGAAATTTAAATGGCTCGTCATTTAAATTATGGGCACCCCAGTAATAATGGCTTGAAAACACTTTGCAAACAGAGGACAAGGCAGACGCTGGCTTTGGAGCTGAAGCGAATTGGCTTTGCATGGTGCCTTTTACAGGCTGGGGGATCTCAGATTAACACTGATCCTCTTGCTGCCTCGGTTCTTCTCTGTTACACCGAGCTTCTGAGGGTGTCTATAGGATTAAAAACGTAAGGCATAGAAAACCTCCAGCATAGAGGCTGGCGTGTTTCTCTTTTTTGTTGTTTTTGTTGTTGTTGTTGCTTTAAGGGATCATGGGTCTGTCTGGCTCTGTCCTCTGTGAAAGCTTGCTGGGTTTTCATGAGCAGGGCTGTGCAGGGGACAGACACTGACATCACTGTGTGCCCGGTGTGCACTAGGCTGTCTCCAGCTGATCGATCAGTTCACAAACAAACTCTGCACAGCACCAGCGAAACAGACTGTAATCTGCGTATGTACACACAGACATGTCATCTCTTCTCCCTGAAATGAGCTCTTCATTCATTCCTCCATACACTTATGCAGCCCACTTTCTGCAATACTCTGCCTGGTTCACACCAGCGATTAGAGTTCAGCCAGAAATAACTTCATATTTGAATTGCACGTTGGAGATAAGAAAGGAGCCCCGTCTGACTCTCAAGGGGCTCCTGTGAGGGGTACAAGCTGGTTCCCACTTCACAGGCGAGACACTAAGTGCAACCCCACCCCAGGAGTCTCCAGTCTCATCTCCCATTGGTTGTCAATTCACGACCATGAAGCCATTCCAAATAACTAACTTACCCTGAGTTCTTGTTCCCCTCTGGGAACAGGCAAAATAGCCCATATGTGTTCCCACTGCTGTCGGGATCCAAACAGAGCCACCGACAGGAAGGCAGTGGGAAGCCCCACTCGTGAGTCTTTCCAAAACAAAGAAGACACACCTGTCACAGGGCAGTCCACGTATCTGTCCTCGAAGATGACAGGCAGGGTGTTCCAGTCACCGTCAATGTCCAGGCACTCTGCGGGCAGCGGGGGCATGGTGGTGAGGTACTCCGAGTTCCGGATGTCCAGAGACATCTGGCTGTGGGTCTGTATTCTGGGAAACATGAAACAGGTGAGCATCCAAGGAAGATATTTTTTTAAATTTTTTTTTGGGGGGGTAGTATTTATGTAACGGAGGTACTAGGGATTGAACCCAGGACCTTGAACATGCTAAGCACACACTCTACCACTGAGCTATACCCTCCTCGCGCACCTAAGGAAGATTTAAATGTTTTAAACTTGCTGCCCCCTACCCCCTTACCCCAAGGCAGCATTCGGAAAATGTTCGGCAGACACTGACACTCTCCATCTGTCTGTCTACCTTTTCTTTCCTCCCAGCTCCCTACCCAGCTCCCACAGCCCTGGTCTGCTTTGCCTCAGGACTGCTCTGGGTGCCAAGGTTAAAGGACATGGATTGTATGATTAAGCAAAACACCAGGGCACTGACCACATGCCAATTAGTAGAAAGGAATAAATACTATTCCAGTGGAGTGTGGGCTGAGTTTCTAAATGGCTAGGAATCCTAAATTAGTATTTTGAAGGAAAAACTTAAATCTATATATATTTTATTCTTATTTCTCGAACCACCTGTTGCATTTAGGGTCTGAATCACATTTCATGCATTTGAATTCAGAACCATCTGAAATCTCTTTTTTCACTGCTTGCTCTGTGGACACCAGCACCCCTGATCAGGGCATAAGTTCCCCGAGCTCAGGAATTGTGGTTTTCGGTTCCTCCACGTAAGACTTTAAAATGCCCCCATGTTGTTCCTCCACAGCCCAAGTACCACTCCACAAGGAGGGTGTGATTCCAGAGTGTGAAATTATCAGTATCCCTAATTCAGAGGTTTGGCTGGTGGAAAATAATTCCTCCCTTATCCTCAAGTCCTTACAACAAAGAAAATAGTTCTTATTCCCCCATTCCAGGAAAATATTAACATTCCATCATTTTTTGAGACAATTAACTTGTTCACAAAACAGAAACAGACTCACAGACAGAGAAAATAAACTTGTGATTACCAAAGGGGAAGGGGGCGGGTGGAGGGATAAACTGGGAGTTCGGAATTTGCAGATACTAACTACTATATATAAAATAAACAGCAAGGTCCTACTGTACAGAGCAGGGAACTACATTCAGTATCTTCTAATAGCCTATAATGAAAAAGAATATGAAAAGGAACATCTGTGTGTGTGTATATGTGTGTGTATATATATATATATAACAGAATCATTATCCTGTACATCAGAAATTAACACAACATTGTAAACCAACTATACTTCAATTTTTAAAAATTAAAAATTTTTAAATTAAAAAAATCTGCAACTACAAAACAATTCCATTTTTCTCCATGCCAACTCAGTCACTCTTGCCCGAGGGAAGATGGTGCTTTTATCAGGTCGGTGAGTTTGGGAGGAGAATTAAGCACGCACAGCCACTGTCTGGCGGCCTCTCTGTCTCTCTGTCCAGCTGCAGCTTTTTCTGAGCAGCTAGACTCTGGAGGCCCCAACCACACAGGCCTGTAGCTGTGCAACCTGGCACAAACCAGAGTGACTTCTGCAATTCAGCATCCCCTGGAGCAAACATGATGAAGACGAACATGTCTGCCTATCTGATATTTTATACATGTACATTTAATATAAATATGGAACGTGTACATTTTATTTTCTTATTTCTCAACTGGGCTATAACCAATGAAAGAAAAAGATAAGCAATTTATTCCCGCCCTCAAAGTCATGAAGGCTGCTGCCACTTCATCATTCTTTGACCCTGTGTCTGAATATTTAAATGGAATTTTATTGCAAGCAATGCTGCAACAAAATTTTCAGCCATCACCTGAACCTGGAAGTTTTGGTCCAGTTTTTGGTTTATTAAAACAGTATATTGATTGAACACCAATGTGTATAGGACTGTGCAGGCAGGCTAGGGGGTACACCTAGAAGAATGAAACTTGATTTTGGACCTAAAGAGCTAACAGGCTCATGACTAAGTCAGGTGATAAATCAATGGGACAGGAGAGTCAGAGCTAAGTTATTTTATGCAGGGAGTGATCTTCTGTTGGAATGTAGCTTCTTGAGCCTGGAGACATTGTGAATGTGACCACATGCCTAAAACAATGCTTACCATGTGTTAAAAAAAAACAACTACAAATTCCAGGGCATATACACCATGAGAGAGCACCGCGCACCTGTTAGGATGGCTACGATTCAAACAAACAAACAAACAAGTGTTGGCGAGGATGTGGAGAAGTTGGAATCCTTGTACACTGTTGGTGGGAATGCAAAATGGTGCAGCCACTGTGGAAAACAGTATGGAAGTGCCTCAAAAAATGAGAAACAGAAATACCGTATCATCTGGCAGTCCCACTTTAGAGCATTTATCCAAAATAATTGAAATCGAGATATTTAAGAGATATTAGTGCTCCCGTGTGCATGGTAACACTATTCATAACAACCAAGACACAGAAACAAGCTAAATCCCCACGGACAGGTGAATGGATAAAGGCAATGTGGCACAATGAAGTATTATTCAGCCATAAGAAAGGAGGTTCTGCAGTATGCGGCAATGTGGATGGGCCTTAAGGATATTCTGCTAAACGAAATAAGCCAGTCACAGAAAGACAAATACTACATGATTCCATTATACATGAGGTATCAAAAATGGTCCACTTCATAGAGTCAAAGAGGGGCATGGCAGTTGCCAAGGGCTGGGGAGAGGGGGAAGCGGAGAACTGCTAATCACTGGGCATATGTCTCAGTGACGTGAATGAGTAAGTTCCAGAGACCTGCTGTTCTAGTAGAGCGTAGGGGGCCCGGTTCATTTCACTGTTACCTCAATGTCAGGTTGACCTTGACTCCAGGAGTGCAGCCCAGCAGCATACAGATACTTCTGTTTCACAGGCTGAGAAAACTCTACATTTTATTTTTCTGGTGTATCCTCTGGGATGACAGCTAAGCACTATACAGGAGAGCCACAGCAAGGAGGCTGGGAGCCTGGCATCTGGACTCTGACAAATCCGTGTTTGCACCACATGCTGGCTGTGTGGTCTGTAACTTCTATCCTTAACCCCTCTGAGCCCAGGTTTCCCTCGTATCTTCTGTAAAGTGGGGACAATGACAGTTCTTAGCTCATGGGGTTAGTGTGAACATTAAATGAGCTAAGAACTCAGTCCTTAGCACAGCTTCTTGCCAGAAGCATCTCCCTAGACTCATCAGCACCAGGAAGGTGGGGAAGTGCCTACTGTGTTCAACCCTATGCAGATAGCATCTTGTAGAATGAATGATTTTAAAAAATGAAACCGTGTTACAGTGATTACTACAGACAACATAAAAGAAGGACACCTCAACTATCATTTTACAGGAATTGAGTCATCAGTACAGGTCTTCAAATGCATCAACATTTTCACGGTCATTCAGTCAACGAACCTTCATTGAACACTTCCTTACTGGGCGAAAAGCACTGGCTGACATGGTAAAACAGAAAGGGGGACAGGAAAGCGCCCCCTTGCTACTAGCCAGTTCTAAATCATTTTTTAAACGCTTTTTAAATATTGCAACCCACACCAGAAAGAGTTTTAATTTTACATGGCAACCCGGACCGTCACACACCACACACACACACACACACACACACTGAAAACAAAAGTCTCAAAAGTTTCTATTACTACCTATCCTATCTGATCCTATTTCATTTAAGACGTGCTGCTCCAAATCCACTCAGACGATTTCACAGTCCACTAAGTGGCTGCGACCTATTGTTTGAGCAACGCGTGTGCCTGAACAAGATAGGTCCTGACGGGCGAGTCTCACTTGCCCACCCTGATGCGGGAGGAGGGCTCCGCTTCCCAGCACACAGGAGGCCCTCCCCGCAGCGGCACCCTCTCCCCCGCTCTGCGCCAGACGAGCACGCCGCGCCCAGGCCCAGCGGCTAGCCTGCCAGAGAGCCCGGCGCTGTCTCAGTCTGAGGTGGCACGCTCTCCCCAGCGCTCTGTATCTGTCTTCCGCTCGTAAGTATCTCGATCTGAAATGAAATCTCCCTCTCTGCTTCACAGGTCCTAGTGACCCGGTTAAAGGTTTCCCTCCTCCTCCGAACCAGCCTCCCTGCTGTCCTGGTGTATGCCTCCTATTACAGGTTAATGTCTACGATGAACTGAGTAGTAACAAGTGTATCTGATCTCTGAATCGACACCGTGCAGCAAAAATTATCATCTCCTGTTATCGGCAGGGCTCAGAGCTCCGCTCAGATGTCTTCTTAGGGAGCCCGTCTCTGACAACTCTGTGAAATAACACCTCTGTACCTGCCACGCTGTTACATCTCTCTACAGCACATACTACATTTGACATGTCCTATATACTTACCTACCTATACGTATGCTTTCAGCTACTAAAACGTGAGCGCTGTGAGACAGGCAATTTGTCTGTTTTGCTCACTGCTGGATATCCAATATCCAAAATGGTGTCTGGCACATAATCAACACAAAACAGATATTGTAGGCATTCCTTCAAATCTCCTTTTTACATCTAAGAACAAGCTGTGTGAGGTTCAGTCACTAGTTTGATGTCACGAGTCTTCTGTTACAGGAGCAAGGTTTCAAAGCACGGATATGAGATTTGAAATCCAAGGTCTTTCCACCATAGTCACTTGTCAATTTTTTTTTCAAGGCATCCGTTGTAATCATCACTGCACAAAGTCTGAACTCTTCATCCTAGTCCACAAGGTCCCACGTAGGCCCCCGACCTACCTAGCTGCCCACCCCCCCACCTTCTCCTACTTGCTCCTTCCATTCTAGTCACACTTGCTCCTTGATGCTTTCAAAGACTCTGTGCTCCCATACAAGAACCTCTACACCAGCCTCTCCCTCTGATTAAACAGTCTCCCACGTCAGGGTATGGCTTGTTGTAACCCCAGCCTCTGCTCAGATGCCACATCCTCAGAAAGATGTTCTTTCATCGCTTTGGCTAAAACACTCTTTATCCCACACCCCATGTTGTGTTGGAGCCAACTTATATTGGCTTCCAGGAACCAACTGTATACACCTCTCCCCAAATCCACGTTCAGTGGTAACATACCAGGAGCTCACCCCTGACCCTGGTGGGAGCATGGACACACGGGATTCGGCAAACACCACAGACCAGAGTTTTTGTTTGTCTGTTTTTGCTTTTCTGAGAACTACCTGTCAAACATTTATGAGGATGCTGGCCACACTCCTGCTCCTCCTTTTCCTTGCCTTGATTTATTTGTCTTTACTTATCACTGTCTGAAATGCTGTAAGGTACTTCTTGCCTGTTTCTGCACTAGAATCAGTGACCCATGAGGACAGCATCTTTACTCCGCTCCCTGCTGGGTCCCCAGCGTCCGTGTGCAAGTCAGCGTCCACACCTAACATCGTCTGAGCAGAGCCTGTGGCTCGCACAGGGCGGGCCAAGTGCGTGGAGGTTCTCCTTCGGTCCTCACACTATCATCCTGCTCGTTTTAAGAAAACAAAGACTGGGTGAGCTTAAGGGAGAAAGCAAATAAACAGAAACGAACTTTCTCAAGGATCGGCTGCAAATCAGTGGAGGAGCAGGATTTTGAAGCCAGGTCTGAGGAATACGTACCACCTGGACTTTGTACAAGCTGTTGCCTTCCAGGACACTACCTGCCTGTATGGCTGTCACCTCCACGTGTGTCCACACTCCTCAGGACCCAGCCAGGGCCGGGGAGTCTAAGGTTTGCCTATTATTGTGATGACCCAGGAAGCGGATTTCTTGCAGTAGCCCTGATGTGCAGGACTTTGCTCAGTGGCCCTCAAAGTGAGTTTATATTTGTCAAGTTAACTCTTCCAATTTTAGTTTCAGAAAATACATTGTCGGTCCCAGCAGGGGGCTGGACTGAATGAATGAACGCATGAGTGAGTGAAAGACTCTAGATTTCTAGAAAAGCCATTTTAAGGTGCAGATAACTTTTCCTTGGTGCCCCTCTCCATTGCAGAGTCCATGAGGCCAACTTTAAATGTTGCTGCACTTTCCAAAGAGAATGAAGAGTGGGGAGAAAGTAAGGTTATAAAGATGAGGGGGGAAAGATCTTCAGGTCTGTCTCAAGTGATGGATGAATTTCAAGGGTTTGTCCTGCTGGACTGACTGGGATTTCAAACATATTCCAACCACATTTATTTCAGAGGTAAACATACTCTTTAGAACAAAAAGAAACCCTCAGACATGTGTCAGCAAGACCAAACATCTTGGAGGAGGCACTGCTTCTGACCCCCAGGGAAAGCCGCGATGGGAGACAATGATCTCATCTTTTGTCAGCCCGCTGACTCTCCTAAGTGTGTTTTTCCGGAGGAAGTCAAACTTAGATATCCATCCATCCTCCTAATTAGGTAGTTCAATCTGAATTCTTATGCTAAATGCATTTCATAACTACTGCAAAGTCTCAGGTGAATTCTGGGCTTTTCTTTTTTCTGACATAGCTTGTGGCCACACCACCTGCTTCTAATTCATCTTGCAAAGAAGACTCAGCATAGATGTCTTCAGGGACCTCGGAAGGCTTGATTCTGTCCATAGAACCATAATGATGCTCAACATGAACAATAAAAATCTCTGGCTATTGACCTTCTCTGCCACCTGCCAGCTCTGCAATTTGTCTAACTCTTCTGCCTTCAGAGAAGATGCATCTGGACGTGCAGAGGTGGGCAGACTTCTCTCCTTCAAGGTCAGACATGAAGGGAAGAAGTAACTTTGTACAAGAATGTCCTTGGTGCTCACTTTTGGGTGTGATGGGGACATGCGAGAGGTTACTTACAGGTTTTCCTGAAAGGTCAGGACTGCAAGTTTTTGGTGCTCCATATAAAAGAAGGCCTCGGAAAACCTTCGGACCTAAGGAGTAAGACGGCATTAGCAATTTACCTCACTGGTGGGTGTTGCCTTGACTTTCATAAAACGAAATTGAGGTTCGAGGAGGGACGTGACATACATTAATAGCAAGAGAGCCCAGTGCCCAGAGGCTGGTTCTGAAACAGGAGCCTTTCCACCCCTCCACGGCTACCCTCTCTCATTTCTAGCTCTTAGCACAAACTTGATTTACGGACACAATTTCATGCACGTTTACGCATCCGTTCTTGCACGGCTTCCCATTGTTTTTATATTTAGGTCTTATTTCTTCCACTAGAATGTAAGACACTTGAAAATACAGACCATAAATAAATGCAGATGAAATGGAATTTGCAAAGCCAGTCCTGTAAGCACGTCCCCTAAGCACTCTGTAGACTCGGTTATGTGCTCCTCTGGCAGTAAATGAGAAGACCGGCGTCTCTTACGATGCATGAATACCCCGCTCCCCGCCACGCACACTCAAGCGATGGCCAAGTGCACTCACAACAACGGACTGCATTTGAAAACACTTCTTCAAAACACTTTCAAAGCACCTGGCATAGTGCTTGAGATTGGCCTGCTGTCACCTGGGAGCCAAGGCAGGTATTTTATGAACGCAGAGCACAGGTTTGAGAGCCTAAGGGAGTTCACAGGAGAGCCAGGACCAGCGCTCAGGTCGGTCCCCATTTTTTTTCTGCCCAATGAACCAATGGTTGTACAGCTTCCTCGGGAGATGACTGGCACGTGCTTAGAGAACTGAAACCATTTGACACCTTACCCTCAAGGTGTGATGCTCCTGGGTGAGGTAAGTGGTCACTTGGGAGTGTAGCGTCACTGTGTCTAGGAACTGGGTCCACAGAGCCATCAGGTGGGAGGCCAGCCAGGCGAGATCCTTACTTATCTGCTCAGCTATCTTCTCTGGATTATTCAGCATCTGGGGAGGCAAAACGGTGGTGGTGAAGGACCTCTGCTCCGTGAAGCCACAGCAGTCTTCCTCCTGAAGTCTTGACTGGGCTTCTCAGCTTTCAAAGGATCCCTCTCCCTCCTCTGGACCCTCCTCTACATCCCGGCACAGCCTGAACTCAGTACTCTGCAGGCGTGACCGTGACACCTGCCACCTGTTAATACCCGCTACCTGGCAGGCAGAACACCAGGCTTTTTAACAGACGCCCTTTCCTGTGGAATCCCTACAATTAACCTCTGGTAACCATCGTTGTTGTAACCATCATTTTATACCAAAATAAAATGAGAAAAAGGATTAAGTAGCACACCCCTGGTCACACAAAGCTGTAAGACTGTCCAACTGCAAAGCCGGAGCGCCATGCGGCCTGCACGCAGTAGGTGCTGTAAACCATCTCCCAAGGAGCAGTGAAGCTGCACCCTCACAGCACCTGCCCAGCGAGGTGCTTTCCACCTGGCCGTGCTCAGCAGTACCGTCAGCACCTTCCTCTCGTCATTCCAAATTTCTTAAGCGGATCCCAGATTGCCTTAAGTAAAGCCTGAAGGATCCAGCCCACAGGGGGCCTGGAGCCTTCCGGGGAACCTCTGGCTACCTTCAGTTTACAACGAGGAGAGCCACCTACTCGGGGCAACTCTAATTCTGGAGAGGTGAGAAGAGAGAGCGTGCCTCCGAGGTCAGCCCGAGAACCAGCGGGCGAAGCCCAGCAAGGAGTCCGAGCCTTCACCATTTATTCAACGAGAATTCAAAGTGCATCTCCCAGGCCCCAGGCTCCTGTTTAGAGTAAATGGATCACACAGATGAGTAAGAGCCAGTCTCTGCCTGCAGAGAGCCGCATTCAGGGGAGGGTACGCCCGCAGTGGAAGGTGGGTTAACAATTAAGACTACAGCCAATACTTCAGAACAAGTTTAAATTTAGTATAATCTGTAAAAACATCCAAAACTATGCTGCACACCTGGAACTAACATAACATTGGCTGTCAACTATACCTCACTGAAAACATGTTTAGACTATCCCTACCCCTAAGATACATTTAAAAATAAGAACACGGGATAAAAAAGAGTGGTGGGGAGCTGTCTGTCTCTGATGCAGCCGAGACACACAACCATAGCCATTTCAAACATTCCGTCTTTGCCTCGTGTCCCCGCTTCTTCATCTGCAAAACGAGTACGCAAAGCAAGTAACTGTTTATTGGACGTCATAATGCACTGGGAGATTAAGCTCAAAGCCTAGCTTGACACACTGAAAGCTCCCTTTGCTACTCTTGGATTAAAGGCTAGAATAAGGCACGCTGGGTGAAGTATCTAAGAGTGAGACAAGCAGATGCAGAGGAATTCGACACCCAGCAAGACTCTTTAATTGTTGGTTATTGCTGCTTTGTAATGAATGGCCAGCTTCCGGATACAAGGTATCATTCAACTGCAGCATCCCTAAACTGCTTCCTCCAAGAGGAAAGATCCATCCCTGGTGACTTCGCAAGCTACAAAACTCCCAGGTGAGAGAATGATCCTTCCTTTCTTCTGACGGAAGCATCATTTCCATCCCTGGCTCTGCTGGGAGGCAGGGAATGAACAGGGAACGTCCACTCCTGGTTCAGCCCCATAATGCATGGCCCGAAGTACTTAGAGGCAGGAAAGGAAGGATTGGGTTGGGGAAAGTGGGGGACGTGGTCAGCCACTGGAAAAGCCTCCATGCTGGGGAGTGAGGCTTTTAGATGGAGTATCATTGGCTTACCTTTATTCTCCAACTAGTTACTCTTATGCTGAGTTCCTGCATCAGCACTGGGCACCTTTCAGCCCCCAAGTTCCTTGCCTTCCCTCTGGCTACCTCCTCTCTGGCCCGGTGCACACCCATTGCTCCGGCCACACCAACCTGCTTGAACACACAGCTCTTTCCAAGCACCAGGCTGCACCTTCTCCTCGCATCCTCCAATCTCCTTTCTCCCTCCCTTCACCACTTCGGACATGCCTGCTCTCCAGCAGGTAACTGTTTAAGGAGCCAGCGCAGTCCCCTTGTTTCTGATGAATTTTGAGGGGGAACATCTACTGTGCTCCACGTGTAAGAGGAGCCTCCCCCTCCTTGAAGTCAACTTGACCTTGCTCCCACTGCTGTCCGGGCCCTGCCCTCCTCTGCCTTCACTCGGAGCTTCAGCCTCCTTGACGTTCTCGGTGCCTGCACTGCGGCTGTCGGACGCTGGGAGCTCTTGGTTGACTACACCAGGGACCGCGACAGTGAATGGCCCTCAGTAACTGGGCCTCCCTTCCTGAGCTTCACACCCCATCGCCCACAGCCCTGTCCCCTCCACTCCGGCAGAACCGGCCAGCACAGCGTGAGCTCTGAGCTCAGCCACCAGAGAGGGAAGGAAAAGCCATTCATTAAATGTGTCTTTCAGAGAATTATTTTTTCCCCCGAGTTGATTACACAAATTGTTCCAGATAAGATTAAGGAAGCTTCTAATTAAGCCACAGGAGGACTTCCCTACTCTCACGGATGCCTGGGCCTGTTCAGCTACAGATGATGGGCGTGGAAGGGTTTATCAGGGGAGTCAAGGAGAGGCCCTTCATGCTAACAAGGAGGCAATCTGGACCCAACGCCATTTCAGGTGAAGCTGCCTGAAAAATGTGCAGCCACAGACATTATCACTCCTCCCACGCCTTTCAGCTGGGTCTAGCCCTGCTCCTTTGCACACTCACTCCCCACTCACCCCCTTTGCTCTGTTTACTGATGTCTGTTATGTGCGTGGAGCATGCTGAGCTCTGGAGAGCCAAAGATAAATACGTCCAGTCCTGGAAGAGGCAGGTGGTCCAGTGACAGCTCTTTACATCAGTAAAGTTATATCTATGATGTACTAAGAGATAGGTCCTGAGTGCTGTAAAATGGTCATGGAAGGTTTCCTGGAGGAGGTGACACCTGCATTGCGTCTTCAAGTAACCCGGTGCCAGGTTGAGAAAAGCCTGCCGCACATCCCCCGAACTAGCCGTGTTCTCTCAGCGTGGCCCTCTGTCCCGGCTGCACATGGAATCACTGGGAGACCACAAGGTGTCTGGGCCCATCTCTGAAGGTAGGACCCAGGCATCAGGATTTTTCAGCTGTTTCCCAAGTGACCTGAGCATGCAGTCAGGGCTGCACATCCCTTCTGGATCACAGCCCCTGCCATGCACCTGTCTTCCCCTTTGTCTGGAATCACGCGCACACAAGGGCCCTGCTGTGTCCGCTCCTGTTTCAGATCTCAGCTCAGCGCTGCTTACCGTGGCAGCTGTTTCTGATCACACAAGAGGGTGTCTAATAATAGCGGTGGCAAGGATGACAACCGAGCCTTGCTAGGTGCTGGGCTAAGTGCTTTACAGGAATGCATCTGCTTAGTCCTCGTACCAATCCTATAAGTAGACACTGTTATCACCACCCCCATCTGATGGCTGGGGTGACCAAGTCACCAGGAGGCTAAGTGACATGACTGAGGTTACAGACACAGTCATCACGTGGGAGCCAGTGCCTGGACCCAGGAAGTCCGGCTCCCGGACCCACCACGCGCTCTAGGCTGCGTGAATCCCACCACCCGCCGCGTAGACCGGCGTGGCGGCTCCTACCCCGCAGCATGCCACGTGTCTGTCCAACCCTCCCATCGACACAGAAGCCTTGCAAGCTCCCGGCTGTAGCCAGAGGCTCTGGCTTGGGACGCAGACCTTCTTCATCGGCCGTTTTCCCCTCTGGATGCTCAGGGCCTCTTACCCGGCAGTGTCCCAGAACAACTCCACAAGGCCATCTACTCACACGACTCAGGACCAAGGGTGACATGGAAGAAAGGAACTAAATCTTTCCGGGGGCGGGGGGTAGGGGCTCAAAACAGTCCCAGCTGTGTGTCGCCCTCTAGAATCTGTGCTGAAAAGCCACAGTGCTGCGGACCGTGGCGGGCCAGGCAGGAGGAGGTCGCCACGACCACGGCGGGCAGTCACCGTCTAAATCTGCACCTTCCTCTGCTGGGAAAGCCTGCATCCTCAGAATCAAAACAAGAATTCGGTGCAAGGGCGCCCTGACCAGTGGGCTCCTCCTCTTAAGCCACCTCCAAAGGTGTTCTCAGGCTTAGATGAAATAATTCAAAAACCCCCTGGAAAGGGGACTGATTGCCTAAAACCCACTAAGTAAACCAAAGGAGCAAAGCCCCAGCTGCCCGATCAGGACTCATTCACTGACGCCTAATAAGTAATTTGTAATATTTCCTTCTCGGAGGATGCACCTCAAGGAAAGACCATAGGGTAACCTGGGATCTTCTGAAAGTGTATGGTGACAGCCAGGCAATACTCTTGTGTGTGGAAGAAGGCCTTACCCTGCTGAATTTCTTTTGAAACTCAGCAGCTGCTTTCTGGTAGATACTCAGCATGTTTTGAACCCGTCTGCTGGACCGAAGCATGTGGCTGAGTTCCATTAGGGCCTTTCCCACCCTTCCTGGAGGGCACGATTCATCCCTTTTCTCATCAGGCTGCACACCAGGGCTCCCTATCCTCAGCTCCAACTCACCTTTCCAGCCCAGCCCCCTGCAGCCGGCCCCAGGTGCCCACTCCACCTTCCTGGGCCCCGGGCACCCACAGTGCTCCCGTCAGGGACAGTCTGCCCTGTCATTCCACGGCTGCCCCCTCCCTGCCTCACTCCTTCCTGGTTGACCTCACACAGAGCCTGCTGCACCCCCCCTGGGCTCCCCCAGTCCCCTTGACTTACGCTTGCTGGTCCAGCACCAACACTATGGACAACGCCTGCCTCAGGCATGAACAAGTCTATTTCACACCAGGCTGTTCGTCCTGGTACGGTCTCTGCCATCTGTGCAATCCCAACAAACAGCAGAGAAGCTGGCACACCGTAGGTGCTTAAGAAACATTTGTAACAGTCGCGTGGAGTTAAAGGTGCATACGAATTGCTCCATGCACTCTATGGTTTCAAATTGTCTTAAATCACTTGTAACAGTTTCCATGGCCCCATCCGTCCTTGAGACGGATGCACTTGTGTCCATGTGCACGGCTGGCCAATAGGTGGCAATGTCCTCCCTCTAAACACTCTGGGCTGTGAACGTGCCTTTTGGGGGTGCCCGGGAGGAAGCTTTGTTTCTTTCGCCCCCAGCAGCGGACCAGCCTTTTATCAAACCCCAGAGCGGGCTGTGCACACCCGACTCCGCCTCTCCCTCCGTCACCCAGCTGCATCCCTGCATAGTCAGCAAATATGGTGGGTTTGTGTGAACCCTGAGGCAACACTGTCACTCAAAACCAGGGGCTGTTACCCTGCAACGTGGGGCCCAGTGCCAAAGGAGGCAGTAATTTACATTCCCAGAACTTACTCATAACTGGAAGTTTGTACTTTCAGTCACTTCACCCGTTTCTCCCACCCCCACCCATCCCCCCAGCAACCACCAATCTGGTCTCTGTTTCTAGGAGCTTTTTTTTTTTCAGATTCCACACATAAGTGAGATAATACAGTATCTGTTTTTCTCGGAATGGCTTATTTCACTTAGCATAATGCCTTCAAGGTTCATCCATGTTGTCACAAATGACAAGATCCCCTCCTGTTTAGGGCCGTATAGTATCCCACTGTATACACACACACCACGCTCTCTTTATGGATTTGGAAAGACACTCAGGTTTCCACGTCTTGGCTATTGTAGATAATGCTGCAATGAATGTGGGCGTGCAGATACCTCTTCCAGATCGGGACTTCGTTTCCTTCCAGTAAATACCCAGAAGCAGCACTGCTGGATCATATGGTAGTTCTATTCTTAACTTTTCGGAGGGCTCGCCATACTGTTTTCCATAGTGGCTGCACCAATTCACATGCCCACCACCAGTGCACAGAGCCCCCTTCTCTCCACATCCTCACCAACACCTGTCCCTTGCCTTTCATGACAGTCATTCTAACAAGTGTGAGGTGATATCTCACCATGGCTTTGATTCATCCGGGGAGCTTTTAATGAAAATTCAAATACCTGAGCTCCACGACAATATACTGTTTCAATCCTTTGAGATGGGACCCAGGAGAGGTGCATATCTGAGACCCAAATGTGTCTCTACTGAGAGATCAGGGCTGAGAAATACTGGCTTAACAGACAGAAATAACAGTTTGCAGTGAGGCAGTCTGTTGAGTCCTGCCTGTAGCACTGATTAGCTGTGCCACCAACCCTGAGTTCCACACTCCTTCCATCTGTATCTGCCTCTCTCTATTCGAGGGTAACAGTGCTCGTCGAGACCACCCAGCAGCACGGGATGTGAAAGTGGTCCAGAGCTTGTAAGCAACAACAGTGTGCACTGGCCACAGACGTATTAAGCACATATTCTTAACATATGCTTGATGAACTTTTGGCAAAGGCACACTCCTGTTTACAACATCATCCCTGTCATGGAAGCTAGCCTCCTGCCATCTGGGAGCCGCCTGAGCATAGGGGCAAGGTTTCTGTCACCCTCTGTGAGAAACACGTAGCCAGTCCTCAATAAATGTTTGTTAAATGATGGGTAATGGACAAGTAAAAAGTGTGAATTTCAGGGAAGCCAAGACCTGTTAGCTTGTTTGTTTTTTTTAAAATATCTAGCTCAGGGCTAGGCACACAAAAGGTGTCTAATAGATGCGATGATTTAGGGTAACGGGATGGAAGAGTATTTCTTCAGTTTAACAACTAACGTGAGGTTACAAGCTGTGTCTTTTCCTCTCGGATTTCTATACCAAGCAAGCAACCCTGTTCACCCCAGTGTAACGACTGCCATTCAGAAGCAAGAAGTCAGTTCCCTAATTACCTGCAGCTCTGAGCACAGCTGGGAGAGGGTTTCTTCAACAGCAAGTGACTCTAGGAAGAAAAAAGAAAAAAAACACAAGTAAATGGACCCGCACGGAAATGCAGCAGCTGCTAATGGAACGAAAGCAGCATAGATTTCAAGCTGGCAGTGAAGTTCCAGGAAAAATAAAAAAGCAGCTCCCGCGAACTCTCCTTCTCTCTGTTCTGTCTAAAGAGTCATGTTTATAAAGAGGGTGGCCCTGATTTGCAGCCATGTGACTTTGCACCGAATGAAGGTCAACACTGTTCCAGAGATGCATTTCTGAGAAAGAGACGATCCAGTATGCACATTGTGGGGTTCGATGCGATTCCACATCCTGTCGTGCTTTTGCAGGTGTGTGAGCACACACGTCCACGTGGCACACCTGGGACGTCGCTGTCTGTCTCCTTCCTGCAGGTGAATGCTCGGAAGTCCAGGGAAGCGCAGAGGCAGAGCCAAGCCTACTGCCCAGCACCACCGACCCTCATATTGATCATCTCAACCATTCGCACTGGCAAAGGGAGTCTGCAACCTGGCCATCTTCTCAGCAGACACTGGGTGGACTCTGGCCCTTCCTGGTTTCACATTTGCCATTTTGCCCATGTTCGAACCCTCCCCTAGTTCCACGACGCTGTGGCCAGGCCTTGCACGGGGCCACAGCCTGGGCTTTAATTAAAGAATTGTTGCCAAGGTGAGAGCAGCAAGCTTTGAGCTCGGTACAGCCCTCAGAGATGAGCACACACTGCCTGCCCTGCAACTGTCCCCAGGTCTGCGAGCCCCACCAGGTACAATGGACTTTCGTCACCGACCACGCCCTTGATCCCGGCACATAGTAGCTGCTCAATAAAAACAGGGTGAGTGAGTAAAGGAACGAATACATTCAGTTCCTTTGGTAAAACAAAAAAAATGCTGAAGCAAGAAGCCAGCTGTTAGTGCCCAGTCTCCAGTTTTCCTCTGAGCTAAGCTGGTCCTGATCTGTGCATGTCTCCACTGAGTGCACAAAACTGACCTGCAAAAGTTTCAACTCCAAGATCCCGTGATTCAAAGAGCAGGGCCTGACTTGTCTAGGGCATCAGAGCTGAGTCAGCCACTAGGACGGCAGCAGAAGTTGAAGCCACAACAGGGCTGCGCCTACTGACCCACCCGACATGCCACATGCTGTGTGTGAGGGAGCTGGGGTGCCTGCTCCCAAAGACCCAGAGCCTTGCGGGGAAGAGAAACATGAGAATAAATGACTACATGGCGTGTTCAGTGTAGTAACAGACAACACACGAGGCCGCCAACACTGCCGAAGCCACGATTATCTCCGCAGGCAAGGTCGCATGGTGCAGGGAGGGAAGGTACCCGGCAAGGCTGCCATGACCCCTGAATACCAGGCCAAGGGCCGGGCCTCTGTTCTGGGGCAAAGGGCCTCATTAAATGAGTGTGACACAATCGAAACCCTGACCCCACCCCTGTCCCAGGCATCTGTGTTCCTGTCTTGTCCTGCCTCACATCGCCATGTGACCCTGCACAGTCCATTCACCTCTCTGCACTTCAGTTCCACCATCTGTCGATCAGGAGGGACCCAGGCCCAATGATCAAGACGCCCAAGTCCAGTGATGTACAGGAAGCAACTGATCCCCAGGAAACCAAGTACGATGACCACTAAGAGCTTCCGAGAATCATCCAGGTTGAAAACTACGTACGTCCACATCTCTTAGGACTGCTTTACACTCTTGTAAGCTGCAATCCCACAACCACAGCCTAATGAAGGAAAAGCGATGGACACATCTGCCCTTAGAAAGCAGCTTAAGGCTATGTACCAACAGCGCCAGGTGGCCGGTAGGTGTTTCGTTAATGCTCGATGGATGAATGAATGAGTAAAAACACCTGACGTGAGGCGCCGTGTCTTTTCCTTCTGCAGTCGCACGTCCACGTTTTCCTCCTGTGAGAACGATGGAGACAGAAGACCAAAAAACCTACCGGGAACGGGGCTTGCTGTGACATGTACAAAAGCACGGCAACTCTTCTTGAGCCCCAGTCCGAAAGCAGAAGGTCAGCAGCTGGGTGAGTACCCCCGTGCCCGGCCCCTTACCCAGCTCCATGTGTGGCAGCTCCGGGACGTCCCTCATGATGGTCAGGAAGTAGGCGCGGAGCCCCCGGTAGGCATGCAAGAGCAGGAAGCACAGCTCCCGGTGCCACTTGTAGGCGTGCTGCATGCAGTGCTCCGAGGGCACGTAGAAGCTCCCCTGTGTGCAGAGACAGAAACAAAAGCTCAGGGCTGCCACATGTGGCCCGGCCCTGAGGACAGCTGGGAAGGGGTTCAAGATTCCAATAAAAGAGCAAATTTGAATCTCTTCTTTATCCCTCTGTATGGGAAAACCACTGCAATTGGCCAAGCCTCTGTCTTATCCTGTCAAAATTAAAATAATATTAACAGCAGTAACAATGAGGACAATGATGATGAAGATAATTAAGATGGTGATGACAATGATGACGATAAAGATGATG